AAATATTTAAAGTTGAAGCATCCGGACGGACTACTATAATGTGTCTAGTGACAATTAGAGTCGAGGTATGGTATAGCAGCCTTTTCGACCGAGCCAGCTAAATTAATTAATACATTTTTTTTTATAAAAAAACAACGGTTTAAGCTAAAAAAAATCATATTTTTTCTTAGCTACAAATTTAGTTATGAGATCCATTTGGGTGGGAGAGAAGGACAAGACATGACTTATAATAAGGGTGTGAAAACTTCTCAATAACATACATGTTTTAAAATTGAGGGTGACAGTGATTTCTAATGAGCCAAAGAAGACAATATCGACTAATAGTGGGTTTGAACTAATAAATGATATCAGAGTCAAACAACAGGCAATGTGACGAATGTGAGGTTGTAAATAATGAAACAAAACATTTTTTATAAGGCTGTGAAAACCTATCACAAATAGACACGTTTTAAAACTGTGAAGCTGATGACGGTACATAACAGATCAACACGAACAAGATGAGCTACGAGTGGTCGAGTATGATTAATAAGCCTTGGCCAAATGTTTCCTCAAACCTTTTAAATGGCTCACTTCATATAAATACTATTAAGCCGTATCTCTGCTCTGCCTCGGACTGCGAGAGCTTGAAAATTGCAGGCTTTTGTTCCTTTCAACGCTTTAATTACATCCAAAATCGCTTCCATTTCGTCGTTCATCACCTTCTTCATCTACAAAAATGGCTGCTTGAGCTCACATTTCCACCAGGTTTGCCCTTTTCTTCTGTTCTTTAAACCTAATTTATACCCTTTTCATGTTTCTGCAGCTCGGTATGAACTGTTTAATGCCACATTCCTCTTGATTCTGAACCTACTTTTTAGGGTTTTCAAAATTTAGGGCTTACAGATTGTTCTTCATTTGGTGAATAATGGACAAAAGGAGAAGTTTAGGGCAGTTTTTTTTTGTTTGTTTTCTTTCTCATCCGTTTCAAAAACTCTTCTTTTCATGTGGGGTTTTCAAATTTCAAACCCTCTTAGCATTTAATTATTCTTGCCCTTTTCCTCTGGGAAGTTACTAAAAGGCACCTCTTAGGCTTGGATTTACTGTTTTTTCTCATCTGGGGGAAGGGCTATTTGTGGAACTTTACACTCTTGTAGGCCCTTGAAACCATTATAGAGGGGGGGCTGAGTATTAAAGAAGTGTGCTTTGTTTTGAAGCTTTGACCCTCTTGTTTCCTCTATGAACTTGATCTGTTGCAGAGTTGCTTGGCTTGTGGGTGAGGGAACTGTTGTTCAAATCCGTTTTTTTTTGGTGTTTTTCAGAAGGGAAGTGATGCAGACTTCTAAATCCAGGTGATTTTTAGTGGTTTTTTCATATGTTGTTTGGTCATTTTCTGGAAATGGGTGTTGCTGTTTGAAGTTGAATGTGCATTTGATTCATGATTGGAGCGAAGGGATGCTGTTTGTGGTTCAGTTGTTCTTCATTATTAGTCTCATTCTGCTCGTCGAACAACAAGTGAAGTCGATATCATTTCTTGCTGTTTATATGCGTAATCTACGTTCGATAAGCAATGGAGATTTGCTATTGCTCGGCTGGACATGGATGATCCAGCATCTTTTCTTCTTTTCGAAGAGTGCCTATGATTTCCACCAATCTGTCAAATGGATCTATGTGAGATTCCACGTCGGTTTGAGAGGGAAACAAAGTATTCCTTTTAAGGGTGTGAAAACCTCTCGTTTTAAAACCTTGAATAGAAGCCCAGAAGGGAAAACCCAAAGAGGATAATGTCTGCTAGTAGCGGTGGACTTGGACTATTACAAATGGTATTAGAGTTAGGCACTAAGCGGTGTGCCAGCGAGGATGTTTGGCTCTCGAGTGGGTGGATTGTGAGATCCCACATCGGTTGGAGAGGGGAACGAATCATTCCTTATAAGGGTGTGGAAACCTCCTTAATATACGCGTTGTAAAATCTTGGGAGGATGCTCAGAAGGGAAAGTCCAAAGAGGATAATATTTGCTAACGGTGGGGTTGTGCTGTTACAAATGGTATCAGAGCCAGACAATGGGCGGTGTGCCAGCGAGGATACTAACCCACCTTATTTATGAGTCTATGAACACCATTTCTTAACAAACTCTTATCAGCTAATTGAACACCATTTCTTAACAAACTCTTATCAGCTAATTGCTAATTTCCATGGCCTTTAAAAGTCTCATGTGATAGGCAAAACTAGTTCTAATGATTGATGTATTTTGATTTGATTCCAGAAGTTCATTGGAGGCACCCAAGAAGGTCTCTTTAAAAGCTGCTCGTCAGGTTAAACCAGCAGCATTGAAGTGCGACTCGTCGTCTTCGTCCAATCAAATGGGAAAGATATTGAAAGAAAGGAGTCCGAAGGTCGTTGGCAGGTCGCCCAGGACTCCACTATCAGAGGTACACTACTTAACGCAAGTGGGCTATTACAAATGCTAGCGGTGGTCTTGGGCTATTACAAATGGTATCAGAGCCAGTCACCGAACAGTGTTCCAGCGAGGGCGCTGGGCCCCTAGGGTGAGTGGATTGTGAGATCCCACATTGGTTGGAGAGGGGAACGAAGCATTCCTTACCAGGGTGTGGAAATCTCTCCCAGTAAACGTGTTTTAAAAATCTTGAGAGGAAGTCCGAAAGGAAAAACTCATAGAGGACAATATCTGCTAGCGGTGGGTTTGGGCTGTTACATGATCCGAGTTCGAGTCTCAAATCTCTGTTCTCTCTCTTGTTCAGAAGAAGTGCCAAAACAGAATATCCGAGTTGGAGTCTCAGATTTCCATCCTTCAGAAGGATCTTAAAAAGGCCAAGGAGCAGCTACATTCGTCTAAGTTACGGAAAGATCGAGCCCGAGTAGATACGGAGGTGTCCAGCGCAACATCAATTGTCAAGGAGCATCAGCCTCCATCTTCCGAACAAGGTCATACTTCCGAGCTTCAGAATGTGGCACGAGAAGACGATCAATCGCTGCACTCTGCACCTGAGGTCACTGAGAAGTCGGAATCCGTGGACTCTGTTGCCTTAGCAATGGCAAACGTTACGCAGCAGCTTAAACTCAAACTTCTCGTAGTCGATAAATCCAAAGCTTTTCAGACAAAACATGTCGAATCAGTGAACGAGAAGCACGGTAAATTGAAACAAGTACTGTCGGAAACCATCTCGATTATGGCAACCATGAAAAGCCAACTGCAAGATTGTGAAGTATCAGAAACTCAAGTTCAAGCACTCATACATGAAGCTACAGCTCAATTGGATATTGCAAAAGAAATGGCTGAGTTGCTCGGTTCTGATTCGACAAAAGCCTTCGAAGATTGGAACTCGGTTATAATAGAGCTGGACGAGTCCCGGGAACACGTAAGCTTACTGGAGACGCTTGTTCTTAAGCTAGAACCCGCCCTTGCAAATTTTTGCTCGTTGCAGTCGGAGGTTGAGCAACAAGCTGCCGAGGCAGAATACCGGGGTAGACGAGATCTGCGTTCCCTCGAACCCAAACCCGCCGTGGTGAAGCCTGATACAAATCTGAGGGAGGTTGAACTCAAGAAGGAATTAGAGAAATCGAGAGTTGAAATAGACGAGTTTAAGACGAAGTTACGCGACAGGGAAACCGAGTTAAGGAGCATCACGGAAGAGAATTTGGAGTTGAGTTGTAAGCTCGAGAAGAGCCTATCGAGCCACCGAGTCTATGGACTAGAGAAAGAGCTGGATGACTTGAAGAACTGCATTGCAGATTTAAAGACCAATCTCTTAGACAAAGAGACAGAGTTTCAGAGCATATCAGAAGAGAATGAAATGCTGATATCTGAAATCAGTAGAAGGGACACAATCGAGACCAAAATGAAGGACGAAACAACGACCGAACTCGTTACGTTCACAACCATAGAGAAGCTCGGGATTACAGCAGAAGATGCCGATCGAAGCACGGGCAGCAGGAAATCTGTAGGGGTGGCTGAACTCGAGGCAGCACAAGCAGCCAATGCAGAAATGGAGATGGAGCTGAGAAGGGTGAAGGTGCAGTCGGAGCAATGGAGGAAGGCGGCGGAGGCAGCTGCAGCGATGATTGGAAGCAACGGAGAGCTCGTGGGCAGAGCGGGATCGATGGACAGCAGCTACAACACCATTACTGGTAAGATCGGGGCGCTGTATTCGGAGGATTCGGACGAGGATTTAGTGAAAAAGAAAAATGTGAATGTACTAAAAAAGATAGGGGTGCTTTGGAAGAAACCGCAGAAATAGAAATGGGATTTTGTAGGAGTTTTCTTCATTTTGTAGAGAGCTTTCTTCCAAATTTGAGGATTCAGAATGCTATGAATAACTCATATGGTGGCTGTTCACTTGAAAGCAATGGAATTGGTGATAGTTCTTTGTTCGTTTAAGTCGAGCCAAACCCATTGCCACCAAATGTTGTTCATTTTGGATTTTTTCTTTCAGGCTCATTCTCAAAGTTTTAAAACGCGTCTACTAGAGAGAGATTTTCACACTCTTATAAAGAATGTCCAACGTCCTTGTTGGCACACCGTCCAATATAATTGTTGTCCATTGATCTTGCTCTGCCCATGAGTTCTCCTACTTCCAATCATGGCAAGAATTGACTCTTCCTAATATACGCGTTTAAAAACATTAAAGGGAAACTTAGAAAAGAAAGGTGAAAGAGGACGATGTCTACTCGCGATGAACTTGAGCGGTTGCAAATGGTATCAGAGTCGGACATCAGGTAGTATGCTAGTGAGGACGTTGGCCTCTAAGAGAGTAGATTGTGAGATACCCACATTAGTTGGAGAGGAGAACGAAACATTTTTTATAAGAGTGTAGAAACATACATACGTTTTTTAAAACATTAAAACGTTGAGGGGAAACACGAAAAAAGAAAGTGGAAAGAGATAATATCATCCGGTAGAAGTTGGTTTAAGTAAGTAAAAAAAAAAAAAAATCCTGATAAACTTAAAAGTTAATATAAATAGATATTATTTAAATTAAGAAGAACAAAAATTGTTGCTCCATTCTTCATCTCTTGCTCCGCAAATCTTCTTCCATTCTCAAGGTCTTAGGTATTCTCTCAAACTTCATCGATCTCTCTTACCTCTTCTAAACGGATAAAATCGAACAAAATCAGTTCTTGTTAGTCGACATTCGAAGGCATAGATTCAATCTTAAACCCTCGATTTCACCGTTTCAACTCTCTCAGGCCGGCGTAAATGGGGCCGAGATGGAAAGGGAAGGGTTCGGAAGCCAAAGCTCTAGCAGATCCCATGTCGAAGATTGTATGTCAGCTCCAGTCTTCTCTAATACAATCTGACGCTCAAGGATTACTATCTAGTTGTAGTGTACTTTATCAAGCGGATGAAGAACAAGCCGAACTTCTTAATCGCGCTTGTTTCGGTCGACCAATTGTTTCCGCCGAGAAGGATAAGCAATGGTTTCAATTCGGCATGGAGGAGGCTTTTTACTTGTGTTATCATTTGAATTGCCTTAAAATTGTGGATGGACAGGATTGTGAAACGAATTTCGAAGAACTCTGGCATTATATGAAGTCGCAAAACGCTACATTCCCTGAGTTTTACAAGGCTTATCAAAATCTTCGGATGAAGAATTGGGTTGTGAGACCTGGATCTCAATACGGAGTTGATTTTGTTGCTTACCGTCACCATCCGGCTCTCGTCCACTCTGAATTTGCTGTGCTTGTGTTGTCCGAAGGAGAAGGAAGTAATGAAAATGGGAGATTGAGAGTTTGGTCTGATTTTCTTTGCACAATTCGGCTTTGTGGAAGCGTTGCAAAAACTCTGCTAGTTCTTACTGTCAATAGCAATGGAAACCGTTCTGTTTCTCCTTCGTGTTTGGACAGTTACTCCATTGAAGAGCGCACAGTTACGGGATGGAGTCCAGAACAGTGCCGCGAAAATCCTGCAACGAAGATATAATGTACGCTGTTTATTTGTTATTTGGATAATTTCTAATTGTTCTTCACGTACAACGAACATGGACTAGCTAGGGGTATAATCACAATCATGTTCTTCCTATTAATTTCAACTTGAAATTGCTCAAATACATGTATCTTTCAGGAATTACTACAATTACACAAATAAACACTGTTGAATGATAGGAGTTTGAAAGCTGAATTATTGTTTAACTCAAATTTAAGCTGATTAGGTAGAGTATATGTAATCTTTTGTTTATATTCTTAACATTTGAATAAGTATCTAGCTGGGTTGTGAGTTTTCGATCCATATTGTCCTCCACGAAAATTCATCTTATTGATCTTTAGCTTTTCCTTAATATACTAATGGGAATGTCAGAAACAAATAATTGAATGATTAAGACAATGTTGTTTGCCAGCGACATGTTCTTCCAGCTCTTCTTGGTCCTTCTATGCAAGAATTGTAGACATAATAGAGTTAGTTCTCTTGAAAATTGCTCCACCAGTTCAAAATGTCTCATTATATATGTGGAGGATTGTTGGAGAGGATTCTTGGGAGGGTTTCTTAGGAGGATTGTTGGAGAGGATTCTTGGGAGGGTTTCTTAGGAGGATTGTTGGAGAGGATTCTTGGGAGGGTTTCTTAGGCTCAAAGTGGACAATATTATACCTACATGGTATCAAAGAGCCATACCCTTAACTTAGCTAGGTTAATTTCCTCAAATGTCAAACAAAGAATGGCAAGCCTCAAAGGTGTAGTCAAGAGTGACTAAAGTGTTGAACAAAGAGTGTACTTTGTTCGAGAGCTCTAGAGAAGGAGTCGAGGCTCGATTAAGGGGAGACTGTTCGAGAGCTACATAGACCTTATGGGAGGCTCTATGGTGTACTTTGTTCAAGGGGAGGATTGTTGAGGATTGTTGGGGATTGTTGGGAGGGAGTCCCACATTGACTAATTTAGATAAGGATCATGAGTTTATAAGTAAGGAATACATCGTCATTAGAATGAGGCCTTTTGGGGAAGCTCAAAGCAAAGCCATGAGATCTTATGCTCAAAGTAGCTAATATCATACCATTGTGGAGAGTCGTAATTTCTAACCATGTAGGCTTAGCCTCTCTCACTCTCTCTATGGAATCTTGGTCGAAGACTGAACAATTGCAGCAAGCGTTTACTTCTTGCAACAAAGTTTGACTTGCAAGTATGATAGTTCTCTTTTGTATATGAGCTTATATTGAACGTAATTGCATGACTAGAAATGTATTGCCTAGAAAGTTAGTTAGACGTAATTAAAGATCATAGTTCTGTCGGTATCATATAATTGGATGAAAAAAGGAACATCCCACTTTCTGAAATAGGCCTCTGACATTTGCTAATGCTTTATATGCAGTCAATGTAGATGAAGAATTGTGTGTGGAAACGGAAGCCGTAAATGTTGAGAAAGAAGGTATATGGTGCGAGGTAGGAGGAACACCGAGAAGGAACTACTGAGAAACGATGTTGTCTGTTTCAATGGAGGCTATTCCAGCTATAGTGTAATAGCACAATCCCACCGCTAACCGATATTGTCCGCTTTGGCTCATTATGTATCATCGTCAACCTCACGGTTTTATATCGCGTCTACTAGGGAGAGGTTTTCACACTCTTATTAGAAAACACGTCTACTAGGGAGAGGTTTTCACACTCTTATTAGAAAACACGTCTACTAGGGTTATTAGAAAATGGATCTACTAGGGTTATTAGAAAACGCGTCTATTAGGGAGAGGTTTTCACACCCTTATTAGAAAACCCGTCTATTAGGGAGAGTTTTTCACACCCTTATTAGAAAACGCGTCTACTAGAGAGAGGTTTTCACATCCTTATTAGAAAACACGCTACTAAGGAGAGATTTTCACACCCTTAGTAGAAAACGCGTCTACTAGGGAGAGGTTTTCACGCCCTTATTAGAAAACGCGTCTACTAAGGAAAGATTTTCACACCGTTATTAGAAAATGCGTCTACTAAAGAAAGATTTTCACACCCTTATTAGAAAACGCATTTACTAGGGAGAGATTTTCACACCCTTATTAGAAAACGCATTTACTAGGGAGAGATTTTCACACCCTTATTAGAAAACAGGTCTATTAAGGAGAGATTTTCCCACCCTTATTAGAAAACGCGTCTACTAGGAGAAGTTCTCGCACCCTTATTAGAAATGTTTCGTTTCTCTCTAACTAATATGAGATCTCACAATCCACTCCCTAGGACGCCAGCATCTTCCGCCTAGTGTCTGGCCCTAGTACCATTTGTAACAGTCAAAGCCCACCGCCAGCAGATATTGTTTTCTTTTGGCTTTCTCTCTGGGGCTTTAAATCATGTCTACTAGTGAGATGTTTCCACACCCTTATAAGGTGTGCTTCGTTCCCTCTCTAATCAACATGAGATTATATTGCCATAGAAAGACCGTATGAAGGACAAGGAACTACTTCCATGTGAAGGAGAAGGCTAGGATGATCATCTCCATTGTTACATCTGTCTGGAAGTTATAGTTCTGTAATGGGTTGAGGATTTGATGGAAGAGTGCAGAAACAGCGAAGAAAAGCACATCTGGATCTTATCTTTTTGCTGATTTGAATAGTAGAAAGAAACAATAGTAGTTTAGGGGGTCATAGCCAAAATAGAAGCTACTCGACAAAATGATAAGGGCTAATCTTAGGTTCTTGTAGTAGAGATGACAAATATATTGAACTCCGAGCTTGTGATCATTTTTGTGTCTGATATTGGTGGATTTACTTGGTTTCTCACCATAATAGCATATGGTATGTTTAGGGTGAAAAAAAATGAAAGATATATCCATAATTAGGTGAACTGATGGTGGATTTGAGACAAAACATGATTATGGTAAGAATGTATAAACTCTCAAATCCAAGATGTTTCTGTTTTTGACTGATTGATTACCCCCTTTTCCAATGATGATATTCAACCATTTTTGTGAATATCAAGTTTGGTTGCCAAACCCTACTCATTTAGGATTTAGCAGGAAAAAAAGTGGACTATTTTAGAGTTATTTTCCATGGTTGGTTAGCAGTCCCAAAATTTACCCAACTCGTCATTCATTGTTATGGCCTAAACACATTACTAGTAGATATTGTTTACTCTGTATTTGTCATCTCTCTATATATTTTTTTTTTTGGATATTGTCCCCTGTAACTTTTCTTTTTTGAGCTTCTTTTCAAGATTTTTTTAAATGCGTCTATTAAGGAAAGGTTTTTACACCCCTGTAATTAATATTTCGTTCTTCTTCCCAACTAGTATGAGATTTCATTTCTACACCTTTATAAGTAATATTTCGTTCTTCTTCCCAACTAATATGAGATTTCGCAGTGCCCTTTTTCATTCCTCGTCTCCTGGTTTGGATAACTATTCTCTATCATAAATGAATGGTAGATCAAGTTTTTGCATAAAAAGTTTTCTCCATTTTTTAAATGTTTTTCTTCCATGTATAATTATTATTTTACCATATAATCTTTATTAAAATATTGTAAAACATTCACAAACAAAAAAGATAATATAATATTCTAAAAAAAAAAAAAAGTTAAAATTTAATATTATAACCCAAGTATTTAAAAAAAAAAAACAACAACATACTTTAACTTAAATATAAATATTATAATAGCCAAAATAAAGCATAGTGGCCTGACAAAAATAATGACCAATTTATTGAAAATCATGAAAATGTAATGATAAAATAAAGAAATTATATAAAAAGAAAAAACTTATTTCTTACAAATATATATATATATATATATATTCATGATTTATCTTTTTTTTTTTTATATGTAATATTTCCCAATGTGAACCTCGTTTATTTAACAAAACGAAATGCCTCTCATTTTTTTCTCCTCTTCTTCGTTTAATTTGGATTTTTTTTATCTCAATCGAACTAAAAATAATTGATTTATTTTCTTAAAAAAAAAAGAAAAAAGCATTTTAAAAAAAATAATTTATATATTATCTATTAAGATATGTTTATTTTAATAAATATGTGGACATATATTTAAGCCAAAGACTAAAATTAGACCTATAAGACACGCTAAATAGAAAAATTAATACTAAAATAAGAATGGAACATAATTTTAATAAATATGAAAAATACAATAATTTTTCTAATTAAAAACACTAGAGATACTATTTACGTAAAATTATAAATTTGGTTATTATAATTAGAAAAATATATATATTACAAGGACCCACTACAATTTAAGTTTGTAATTAAAAGAGGTGCGAAACCCGATATCTGGTAGCGGGCCCTTCCATTTGTTTTATCGGATACGAACATCGAAAACTCTGCCATCTTATTAGCGCTAATACAGGGCTCGATAGAGACTCCGAAGATCCTTTCTCGGTTCAATCTGAATTGGTAAAAAAGCTTCAATCCTCACCCCACTCGGGACTTGGAAGATTCCGTAATTTTGTCTTTCAACAGATACAGCAGCAGCAGCAGCAGCAGCCCCTCTCCCATGGCTATGTCGCTGTCCCCCCAAGATTTCTGTAAGTCATTGTTATTGCTTACAATGTGTTTGACAAAATGCCCCATTGAAAATCACATACAATATCATGCACGCGTCTTTAATTTTCAAACTGAATCTGTTGACTATTTTGAATTTTCTCACGCCTAAATCTTATCCCTTAGGAGAAAAATCTACCCCAAATTCGGTGCTTATTCTTACTGAAATTGTAACCCCATTGGATAGAAAAGGGACCCGAATTAACCCCCTTCCCCATGTGAATTATTATAAAATTATTGTGCCTCCTCTGTTTTGGATTTTAATATTGGGGGGGCTGGATTTGGGAATATAGAGATCAACTAGCTGCAATCATGGCGGAATATCTTGAAAACAGCACTTGTTTAAATTTGCAAAGCTCTGTTGCAGCCACCCGTTCAGTACTTACTTGGTGTTCAGACTATTACCCACCCTATGAAATGTCATCTTCAATTTGGATATAGTTTCAAGGCGTTTGAATTAGTGCCATTTTTCTCTTCTTTTTAGCTTAATTTCTGTTGGGTTCTACCTTTAAGGCTTGAGGAGTTCTGTTGATTCTGCTTAGATTGTAGTGTTGGAAGGTGGTGTTATGCCCTTGATGAGAGCTTATCAATGAGATGGTTGAGAGGGTTGTAAATGGAAGTTTTTAGTTACTAGTCCGAGTAAGCGGCATAATTTGAGAAACTTAAGATAGTTTAAATAACTGTGTTTATAGAAGAATGGTTAAGAATGGGTGGGGGAGAGTCCTACATTGACTAATTAAAGGGATGATCATGAGTTTACAAGTAAGGAACACATCTTCATTGGTACGAAACTTTTTGGAAAAACCAAAAGTCACGAGAGCTTATGTTCAAAGTGGATAACATCATACTATTTTGGAGACTCCGTGATTCCTGGTATTAGAGTCATGTCCTTAACTTAGTCATGCCAATAAAATCCTCAATTGTGAAACAAAAAAGTTGTGAGCCTCGAAGGTGTAGTGAAAAAGTGACTTAAGTGTCAAACAAAAGGTGAATTTTATTCGAGGGCTCCAGAGAAAGAAGTTGAGCCTCAATTAAAAAAAGGCGGTTCGAGGGCTCTATAAGCCTCAGGGGAGGCTCTATGTTATACTATGGGTTCAAGAGGAAGATTGTTGAAGATTATTTTGGCTAATGAAGGGGATAATCATGGATTTATAAGTAAGGAACACATCTCCATTAGTATGATATAGATTTATGTTCAAAGTGGACAATATCATATCATTGTGTAGATTCATAACTCCTAACAAGGATCGGTTCCAATTCTAATGAAACGTTTTTATTTTTTATTTTTTTAATTTCTTCTTTTAAACAATGTTACTAACCCATGGGCCGTGTGAAACTGTATTAGTTGGAAAAGGATTAGAAAAGAAATTTCCTTGACTTCTCAGGTAATCGAGATCTCGAAAAATTCACATTGGAATGAACAGATAAACAAGTGAAAAGAGAGCTTATCCAAGTTTGAATTTGCTTTCTGTAACCAGAACACTGATAGCTAGATCAAAGGTTTGGTATGATGAAAATATTACAGGGAATTCGCACACTACCACAAAACAAACCCACTCCTAAACTTACATTAGAGGACTGTTGAGAAGCCCATGCCAAGACGAAGCAATTCCATTTCCATTGAAACTCCAGCTTTCTCTTCCAGAATCAAGATCACCCATGTAATTTCCATCCTCATTGTTGAACTGCCATGGAAATCCCCAAGAAACCATATTTTGATCTCCATTGGGTAGCAACTCTTGCTTCATTGCTGTAGCAGTCTCTGTAGACGCATGTTCAACCTCCCCAGAGCTTCCATTACCAAGTCCACTGTACATATTATGATAGTTGTTGTGGGTATCAAAAAGACCCATCCTTCCATTTGATTGATTTAGAAGCTTAGCATAGCTAGAATTGGCAGCCTGATCATGTGATCTCTTTGAAGATGGAGATGGAGAGGAAGACGATGAAGTAGAAGGTGAAGGTCTTTTGTTCTTCCTGCAAGAGCCACCCACAGGAACATTTCTTAGAGTTCCCCCTTTAGTCCAATACCTTCTACAGGACTTGCAAAAGAACCTTGGCTGGGAGAGACTGTAGTTATTGTAGTAGCAGAACTTGGTGTTGGTAGAATCACATCTTGGGCATCTCAGGACTTGCTCTGGCTGTGGCCTCATTGGCTTCCTGTTTTCTTGCTGCACTTTTGGACATGAAATCATGTCCACCATGTCCTCCAGTGGTTGGGCTTGAGCTTCCTGAAGTAAAATTAAACAAACAAATCAGGAGTTGAAATTAATGGATATCTTGAGAACTTGAACAAAAACCATTCTAATCCTTACTTGTTGGCCGCTTGAATGATCCATTCATAAAACCAGCGAATGGATGAAGGTTGGAAGACTGAGTTTTGTGTTTTCGATAGAGAGAGAGAGAGGTTTGTTGAGAATGGGGTAACACAGGGAGATAAATAGATGGGTGGAAGCTAGGGAACTCTCGACAGAGTGTCAGATGGGTCCTACATTGACTACTTTAGAGAATGATCATAAATTTATAGAATACATATTCATTGGAATGAGACCTTTTGGGAAGTCAAAGCAAAGCGACGAGAGCTTATGCTCAAAGTGTACAGTATCATATTATAGTAGCTCGTAGTTTGCAACGAGCTCAGGAAAGAGGAATAGAGAGAGGGAGAGAGTTCTGTAAGTTAAGAATAACTATCTCCTTATCTTTGTACTATATGTACATGGCAAGACAAGGCAGCTAACTTGATCTCATCAGTCTCGATGTCATCTGGTCTGCAAACGGTTCTGCCGTGGAATTGTTTTTTTTCAAATAGAATATTAAATCTTAATTAGGTAACCATTATGATTTAAATTCATATGTTTATACTATTATTATTAATATATATATAATTCTTCTTTTTAGAAAATTAAATTTTTACGTTACCCTATTAAGCTATTATTTTCTAAATGTTGAGGATTGTTAGGAGGGTGTCCTATCTTGGCTAATTAAAAGATGATCGTGGGTTTATAAGGAACACTATCTCTATTGGCAACTATCATAGGCATTTTGGGGAAATAAAAAACAAAGTCATGAGAGTTTATGTTCAAAGTGGACAATATCATACCATTATGGAGATTTGTGATTCCTAACATGATGTCAAACAAAGAAGTTGTGAATCTCGAAGGTGTAGTAAAAAAAGTGACTCAAGTGTCGAACAAAGAGTGTACTTTGTTCGAGGGCTCCAGGGAAACGAGTCGAACTTCAATTAAGAAGAGGTTGTTCGAGGGCTCCATAGTCCTTAAGGGAGGCTCTATGATGTAATTTGTTCGATGGGAAGATTGCCGAGGATTGTTGGAAGGAGTCCTCCATCGGCTAATTAAGAGGATGATCATGAATTTATATGGAATATATCTCAATTGGTATGAAGACTTTTGAGGAAATCAAAAGTAAAGCCGTCAGAGCTTATGGTCAAAGTGGACAACATCATACCATTGTAGAGATTCGTGAATCCTAACACAGTCACTAAATAATTATTTGCTTCCCTGGGTTATCATTTCCATCCTCACTTCCATATACATATACTCATTCTTATAATTAATTTTAATTACATTATTACAAAACTTAATGATACCATTTAATTATATATGTTTTTTTTTTATTTTAATAAAATAATAATAATAATTGGAACTATGTGTAATTATTACTTTTATAATTATATATAAGGATTATTAAACAGAAGTGACAGACGCTTTCAATTATGAAATTGGTCCCACCCTTTACACTATATTGTCTTTGATTTTCAATATATTAAAAAATAAAATAAAATAAAATAAAATAAATAAATAAAAGTCATTGGTTTGGTTTTTGTCGTGTCTTTAGTGAGATTGTGATTTGAATATGATACAAATTTGATGCTTATCATTGAATTCATGTCCGTTTCTTTCCAATATTCCAAATAACCTTAGTCTAAAGCTCGTTTCACGATACACCTTATCCAAATCTACCACTCGTTGTGCGACCGTTTTTATGAACATTACACCATTGAATGATGAATTTTGTCGGGTCTTCACCTCCAAACCGGCATGGAGAGTAAGGATTTGGCTCGCCCTAAATATAATTCATATCTCCTTTCTTTGATCGATCGAGAAGAGTAAGGCTAAAGAATAGTAGTATGATTCGTCTATTACATTACTGATGAATGAAAAATCCTTACCTCCTAGGTTGGGGTTGACACTATGTTGGTGAGCCTTGCTTTCCTTTTCCTTATGTTATATTCATTTTTCGATGGTCTCTTACTTTATTCTCAATTGAATTTAGTAGTTGTGCAAAAAGATAATTAGCCCGGAAGAGATTGAAACTTTTACATCAAGGGTACGTTAGATTTTATCTTTTCTAAATTTCCTTACTGTGAACAGTCAATTTGAAATTACAATCAATAGGTGAAGTACCCAAGTGATTTCAAGAATTAACACATGTATTGATTTCTCGTGTTCGTAAATAAAAGGGCTTTCGATTAACTTATCGACTCCAAATATCCAAAAAATTTGTTATCTTGTTGATTAACTATCTTTTCATAATATTATAAGAATCGGGGTGGAGAAATTAGCATGATTGTGACATGATTGGTGATGGCAGGTGTGGAAAAATGATAGAAAAGAGTGTTTGGAGGGTGTAATGTGGAAGTGGAACCATTCTTTTATTCTCAAAACAAAAAAAAAAAAAAAAAAAAAAAAAAGATAATTATTTTATGCTCAAAATTAAACCTAAAATGTTTGGGTTTCATAGGCGTAATCATGAGATAAAGAAGTGGGACACACTTTGAATATTAATCAATCAACTTAAATTAATTCTTTGGCTATGGTTAGTATCTACCTTTTGGGCTTCATTTAACAATTGCTATAAATAAATAATTCAAATATAAAAACTGTTTAACAATATGTATGGCTTTTTATTTTTTCTTTTTTAAAACAGGAAAAATATCAAATCATTCCCTAATATCAATATTTATATTTGTTCATATTTTAGGTAAATTCGATTAATTAAATTCAATCCATACTATTTGAATTTAAATAAATTTTATATGTTTTTTTAAGGAAAGTATAAGTCAAATTTATTATTATATATTTTTTTTAAAAAAATGTTATTTACTTACAATCAAATTATATATGAAATTTTAATTCAATTCTTAATATATAATTTTATTAAAGACAGAATCTATTCAACCATCGACACAAACACAAAATTTTGTTAAATTTATTATTTAACAGTTATTTCAGTTAAAAAAATTCACACATAGAAAACAATCAGATTGAATAGAAAAAACACAATATCTCAATCAAACCTAAACGTGCTCGGCTACCTAATTTTTACATAAAAGTAAAAAATATTTATATAATAATAATATAACAATAAACGTGATTAACACATAACTTTAAGACAATCAAAATTGGTTTTGAAAAACGGAAAGCAAAACAATTGGATAAAAACAAATTGTATTTTAATTTTTATAAATAAATTTATATTGAATTGGATAATATTTAATTCCCAATAAATTAGGAAGTAATTTTAGATATTTAAAAATATAGTGAGTAAAATAATAATTTTAACGTCAAGATAAAGCATTCAATACAATCATTGAAGTTGGATCCGAAGCAAACTTATCTTCTCATAATATATTTTCTTTTTTTTTAAAAAAAGAAAGATAAAGAGAAAAAAAAAACAAAAAAGGAAAATAATATGATGAGCGACAAGAAGTAAATGGAGTTGTGGGCCAAGGAGAAGAAGTGGGCCCATGGGCCTTGATGATTAGTCATTGTAGTGGTTGGTTGGTCAAACAAAATAAACACTCACACCCACACATGATTTTGTAAATAAATAAATAAATAAATAAATAAACCCAAAAAATAATAATTAAAAAAATGTGGTAAAAAAAAAAGGGATAGTATCCATTGAAAAACAAGGTGGGTTGGGTTCTTTTCTCTAAAATCTTGGCATTTTTATTTTTATTTTTTTCAAAATATTTATTTATTTTTCTAGTTCAATATTTGACTCAAATATTTAATATTTGTAGATTTTGCTATATAAAGTTGTAAAAGGGAACCGCCTCTCATCAAATTTGTGGTTCAAGTAGTAATCTAGTAATGCACTTTGCGCAACCACGTTTCAAACAAAATTGTCGCGTCGAGTTGCACGCCTAGGTGGGTGCTCCTTGTCGCCATGAAGGTTTTTCAACATCGGGGGCTACTTGCATCATGGATTCGTGAGGTGGAAGGATGGTCTTCTACACATTAACAATGATCAAATTTATTGAAGAGTAATTTCAAAACATGTTTAAAAGTAATTTTGAAAATGTTTAAATCACTTTCGTCCTAATCAAAATCATCACACATGTTTGAAAGGAAACTTCTATCAAATTCACCCCAAAAATGGGGTTTAGCTGACTTTTCGACGCATTTCAAAACTGAGTCAATGTGGGAGCAAACATTGTCCATTAGCAACACAAATGCGGCCCTAAAGGGGGAATGAATGAACCATATGGAAAATTAACAACGGCGAGTTACTTAGAAGCCGGTTGGTATTCCTTAAGAGCCATGAAACTTCGTATTAGCCCTAAGATTTCACTACGCATATCAGCAACCGAAGATGGGGTAACCTCCTTCACCACTGCAGAAAACCACAAAAAACCATCTCCACCACCAGCCTCTTTCCTCTCCTGCTCATACCACCTGCATATACTTCTTGATATGGCTGTAACATACAAACCACAATCATGTCCATTTACTTGCTGAGGAGACTCACTGCATTCCACATAACTGGGTTCGGATGTCGAATTCGTAACACCCATGAATCTAGCCACAGCTCTGTAGAGTCGCTTGGCGGAGGAATTATTCACCCCTTTGCAGCTATCATGATGAACAAAAACGTTTGCTTCTCTGTAAAATACAAGAACACTCCAGTGGTTTCCACCTTCAGCTTTACTAACATCATTGTTGTCATTGACTGGGAAGATTACCAGATTCCTGACGCGTAGATTGAGTGGTTGTAGGAAATCATTGAGACCGTCGGTGTCCGGGCAGTTCATTATCCAGAAAGCAATTGAAGGTGGAGATAGAAGGATGTCCTCGGAAGGATGGCATGTGCATAGATAGCTAAAATAGAACTCGATGATTCGATCATTCAGATAACATGGACCATTAAGGATGTCTAAGTCTGATTTTCTGAGTACAACATCATTGTAGCTTAAGATCTTCTCATCTCCTTCAGACTTGCCCATTTCAGACCAGGTAATCGATCCCTATGAAGAAGGGGAAAGAGAACATTAATACCAATTTTATACAACCTTTTTCTTGAAAAGGATTCTTCACAATTGAGTAATGAAATTATGTGAAATAAAATAGGAAAAAGATCCACCAGAAAAGTGAGTTAATTGTACTTTGTTCATCATCAATATCTGCCATGTTCTTGACATCTTTCATGAAAGCTCTCAGTAATTCTATTTACATTCACCAGAAGAAATAAAGTTCAGGCCTAAGGTGTGGGAGTTGATGGATTTCCCTCTTTGAATGCCTTCAACTCTTTTGGGTATCATATGAAAGAGCCTATAATCAATCTCTCCAAGAACTCAGAGAAAAAATCTTTCTTTACTCAAAATCAAGATAGCTTCTAATATTCTAATTCAAAAGCCTAAACCCCCATTTGTAGAGGATTTGTCAACTAAAAGATTATAACATTTCAACCAATACCACTTGAGCCAAC